TATATATATATATATATATATATATATATATATATATATATATATATATAGTTGGATTGATGTGAGTTTGTAGCTGTATCACTAATATTGAACACTTTCCAATAAGTACCACATATATATAATTATATATATACAAAATTGCATATATATATATATATTTATATATATACATATATATATATATATATATATATATATATATATATATGTGTGTGTGTGTGTGTGTGTGTGTAAGTACAATAAGTTACATATCATATCTGGGAAGTATTTTAATAGAGGATGTAAAGTACAACACTGAAATCCAAAGGTGCATTGAGATAGTGAAAGATGCCTCCCAAAGGCTTAGCAAATTATTAAGAAACTGGAAAATTTCCTTAGAAACAAAGAAAAGAATATTGAACTATTTGGTAATATCACTTCTCTAGTGAATGCTGGAAATTTTCCTCAAAGATGAAGAAGAGACTTGAAGTGACAGAAATGTAGTTCTAGAGAAGGATATGGGCAATGACTAAGTTTTAGAGAAAATGGAGACACAAAAGACACTTATACTTAACAGCAGAAAGAGATAGTTGAAAATTTCTAGAACACATAATATGGAAAGAAAACTTGGAAAATTTGATACATGCAGGACAGATTGAAGGTAAGAGGGACTGAAGAAAACAAAGCATAAACCTACTAAGCAAGCTTGTGCAAATGGATGGCGGATTAAGATTTAGGCAAGTTAACAAAAGAATCAAATTTATTTATTAAGAGTTGCAAAGGACAGGAAATTGTGGAAAGCCATGATCACCAACATCCTGAAGAGACACAGCACACAAAAAAAGTGTTAAGTATTTTTTTTTGTTTGTTTTAATCTATAAAGTATACCACTGAATGTATTAGTTTGTGCATCTCCATCAGAAAATTGAATAATTGAAACAATACCATGATTTAATCATTTAGGAAGACAAGCTATCCAAGTGTCTTTGGGGGAATCTTCTTTTTCTCGGAGCAGCTGACAAGATATTGCATGATAAATTCCTTTGCCTACAGCTTTCTTCTTCAGGCAGTGAACCAGTTAGTGATTCAAGTCAATTCTCAAATGATAATGAAGACAGTGAAAGCAATTGTTTGTTCAAGAGTGGATGACAAACTATTTTGCTGATATGATATTGTACAAAAAAATATCCCAGACACAAGTGGTCAATCTCTAGATTTTATTCTGAAACTGGAGCCAATCAGAGAGATGGGTAAGAAGATTATGTTGAAAATAGGGAGAGCCACTCAAATTTTACCTAAACTCGAGGACAGATTTTTAGCACCAATGAAAAATATGCAACTATCTTTGTTGACAAGCAGACCAAAATATTTACTAAGCTGAGTTTATAGTCATGCATTTTCAAAGTTAGCAAAATATTATTCGTATTGTTATAAATGCACTGATAATTTCAGATTCAAACATCACTGGCCCTTTAATTTTCCACTTAAGTTTGCTTCTGGGAATACTTGAAACAATACCATATAACTAGTTTGGCATAATAGTGAAACAAAAATAGCTCAAGAACAATATTTGACAGATCAGGAAAAACTTTGGCAGAAAAATTCTTTGAGTAGATATTTCAAACATAAATCATAGATTTTGGAACATACTCATAATGGTTCAAACATGCATTCATTTTCATGAAATTAAATTTCTAACTGATATTTTTGTAATGTCTGAAATGGGGGGTAGGAACAAAAATGAAAAAACAAGGAACTTGTATGATGAGAATCAATGTTCCTGTTTGAATTTCTGGGATGAGGAGTTATCATTATTTACATCTAGACTATTGTACTCTTCTTTGTTGTTATTATCACCTGATCAAATTCTGTCTGAATTTCTGGGATGAAGAATTGTTATTATTTACACTATATATATGCAGACTATTGTTCTCATCTTTGTTACCATGTTTCAGCTGTTGTACCCTTCCTGTGATAATAACAACAAGGATGAGGACACTAGTACAGATGTAAATAAGGATCAATGTTGTGTATATGTATTGAGAACTAGCAGCTTGTAGGGTTGCATTTCCTTATCAGACTATATTCATTTCTGTTAAATTTTTATTGATTTTTATGAACATAAAATTAGGATTTTCATTTTACAACTGATTTCTTTTAGAATTATCCGTGAAATATTTGAAAGCTTTGTGTGTTTCAGTATTTCTTCTATAATGAAAATCTCCAGACAATGTTTCCAGGTAAGGTGGTAAAGAATTACTCGACTCTTTTACCAAATTCAGAAAGGATTAATGAATGATTTGTTTGTTTTTTTTTTTTTTTTCTCTTCCTGTTTTTGTTTATTTATTTATTGTTATTACTGTTTTCATTTTTTTTTTTTTTTTCTTTGGGAAGAGTTAAACTGATCCAGTCTCTTACCCTTCATTGAAATTAGCCTGTATTCTTGTTGGGGAACATCTTTCCTAACCCCCACTTCTACAACTTCATGGTTAAGTTGGTTAGTCATCCACAACATTTTTATGAGTCATTAGGCTAAATTTTATGATGTTTCCTATTCATTTCCTTTAATGTCATCAAGACATTGATTCAGAAAACCTTACAGTTTGCCTGACTTTAGCTTTCATCTTTTTCTTTTTCCAATCTTCCTTCATTCTCTTCTTCAGGCTTTTTATCTCTGCCATCTTCTTTCACTCATTCATGTCTTCTTTTTTCCTTTGGATTTATTTCTTTATGTTTAACTTGTACTTTTTTTTTTTTTTTCAACTACTTCCATTTCCTCCTTCCCTATTGTTTCCAAACTTTTTACATTTTCTGTTTATTTTTTTTTGTTCTTCCTCAAAACAACAAACGCATCACATTCCATCAAACATATTCAGGATTCTGTTCATCACATTTGCTGTCATGAGATCTTAATGATGCTACGCATGTAATTTTCTCCGTAAAATCCCTTGTTACATCTTTATTTGGATAAACTGCAAATATTCTTAACATTACAGGCTGTATCATTAAATCTTCTTATGAATCCCTGCTTTCTATAAATAATCTTCAGTGTATTTTCTACTTTTCACACCTGAAAGGTTAAAACTTGCATTTCATGGGTAGAAGAACTCAAATGAGGACTGAGGCTTTACTAAAATTTAAATGAGGATTTTATAAGCATAAAATCAGGCTGGCAATACCTTCTTTACTTTTGATTTGTCTATTGTTTAATTTCAATAATACAATGGCAGATTCTGCATCCATTTTGTAAAAAATTTAGAAATATGATTCCACTTTGTTTAAGTTGTAATAGATGAGAAAAAAAATTGGTGCTTCTTTTAAGTTGTATAGAATACAGCTGTATGTTGATGACGTCAAAAAGACAAATCAACAAAAAATATTATATTTGAAACAATATTTGGAATTAATCAATGGATTCTCAGATTCGTTCTTATACAAGACCAAGATAGTTAACTCCTTGATAACATTTGATATCATAAATATATATATATATATATATATATATATAGTAATTTTAAAATTTCTAAAAAGATTTTTGTAATTTTGAAATTTTGCAGGAAGATTTGTTAATTGGAAAAAGTTAATAAAAAATTTGTCAATATTATTCACAAAAACACACACACACACACATATATATATATATATATATGTGTGTGTGTATATATATAATGAATTGTTTCTTCTTCAATGTACATAGCACACACACATATAATGTAAAATTGCACACACAAGTATTTGACTCAGATAATTTGCTTTATTTTTTTAATTCAATTTGATTATATTTACCTGTTGAATTAGTATTAGTAAAAGAGTTTAATTTGGAAACTAATAATAAATACAAAAAGTTGATATCAATTATTGACCCAATTAGCAATAATAACTTTAGTCTAAGTCTTCTACTCCCAGTAAGAAAATAAATTTAGCAGTAAAATAAGTCCTGATATTGGCCCACACTTGTACACCCTGCATGTTGTAATTCTCAATATCATTTTAGAAAGCTTATATCAATTCATTTTATGAATTAAACACTCATTCCTTTTTTTAAATCATGACAAAAAACAGAGAGCATTTCAAGGACCTGAAAAAATTTGGTTGCAGCTTGGAAATCTGGGTTGTAAGAGTATTTCCAAGCATTTTAATACATCCTATTAAATGGATTTGAGTGAATTATGATTGTTGGTCTTAGCAAGAAGCATTCTTCTTCAAATTTCATTACTGGTGCTACAAAATCACAGAGAACCGTACCAAATAACAAAAACCACATCATTTGTGGACTTTCAACAACAGCAACAACTAAAATGGATAGCACATGTAACTCAAAAAAAAATAATGACATAATCAGGATGTTGGCATTCTACACTGATTCAAATAAAAGGTTAGGAAGGAAGTTTCCATCAATACTGAAAAGAACGATAACAATTTGTGGACTAGTGGAACTGTTTTAATAGAAAGATCTTATAAATTTCAACAAATTGCAGCACTGACTATTGGGTCAATAAATGCTGAAATTTTCCATAGCCACAGAGTGAAAAAATGAGTAATATAACAAGCACAGGCAACTTTGTCAATGAATGCTGAAATTTTCCACATAATAAAATAACTAATATTTCAATTACAGAGGAGGAGAACAGATACTACACTTTGATCCCAACCTGACGGCCACAGAGTGACGAAATAAGTAATATGACAATTTGTCAATTAATGCTGAATGTTTCCACATGAGTAAACAGATGAGATTACAAATATCATTCCATTGTTTTCTTTATCATTCATAAATGAAAAGAAATCAGTTTAGTATCAATGCTTTCAAGAGACATTTATTTAAAGAAAATTTCAACACCAGGAGGTGACTAAAGAGAATTGATATCATTATTTTATTTACACAATTAGAAATAATATCTTTAGTAGGAGTATTAGACTCCCAGTGAAAAAAATATCATTAATAGAAGTATTAAACTTCCAGTGGAAAACAATTCTGAACCATTGTCGATTATACCACCCACACATCCAGACTTACTATACTATTCCCATGAGGTCATGCATCTCGGTACTGACCATACTCGATGTTGCTTAACTTTCGTGATCATATGTGAACCAGTGTTTTCAATGTAATGTAGCCATAAGCATATAAATCATTGAGACATGTACATCTGTTATAGCATCCTTCATTTCTGATTGGATATATTTGAAACTGAAATTTCCAATGTGATTTTAGACGTCTTGAAATTTTCTTTGAATGACCCAATGTAGGATACATTGAGACAGCACACATTTCTTTCCATTTATGAACTGTGTATGAGAGAGTGGAATGGGATTTATCAAACAGCTCACAAATTTTCTTGTAGCCTCCCCTGGATTGATAAGTCTCAATTTATTTTTTCAGGTGCTCTTTGGTTTTGTCACAGATTCAAAGAGGATAGATATTTAATTTGTAACACATAATCATTCTAAAGTAATGTTGGGCATTACAACATGCAGAAGCTATAAATGTGGGTCAATGTTATGACTTAATTTACTGACTAATTTATTTTTTTCACTGGGAGACTAATACTCCTACTAAAGATATTATTTTTTTTACTGGGTGTTTAATACTCCTATTAATATTATTTTTTCACTGGGAGTTTAATACTCCTACTAAAGATATCATTTTTTTTCATTTTTAGATTCTCCAAGCCCTCTTACATCACTATTCACAACTGTCTCTTTTTGATTGTAAGTATAAGCTTCCTTTTTTTTCCCATTTTCTTGAAAACTTCCTTGTATTCTCAGCACCTTCTATAGAACCACATCCCTGTTGCCTCAAGTCTCCTCTTCATCCATGAAAAAATTCCCCAGCATTCACTGAAATATGAAAGAATTGATATTATATAGAAGTTATTATTACTGGAGTTCAGTTATTTGTTCAGATTAAATAAAAATATAACCTTTAGGACATAATCAGCAGCATTATATCTAGAGAAAAAAAGAACACAGTATAAAAAGTACCATCCGTAGGATAGCGGTGGACACATCAATTTAGGGGAATGCTTTAGTCCAGCAGGTACTGGAAAAATCACCAAGATTGAAGGGAAAATGGATTTGGCAAAATAAGTCTATTCTTTCAAAACTAATCTTTTAATCTCTGTTCTCCTGACTTGGTAGACATTTCATCTAAAAAGACAACGACCAGAAACATACTTTAAAAACCGCTACAGAATGGTTTAAGAAGAATAAGGTTACAGTAATGGAATGGTCTTCTATATTGCCTGACCTAAATTCAAACGTACTTTTCTGACATGAATTGAAAGTTTCTGTACATAAATAGAAGCTGTGGAATGTGAAAGTTTTGAAACAATTCTGCATAGAAAAATGGAATAAAAGAGATGCAGAAACCTTATTATTATTGGCCACAGAAAATGTCTATTAACAGAACTTGGTTTCAAAGGATCCTTAACTAATGATGAGCTAAGAGGATCAAATATTTATTAAAACTTCATTATAATAAAGTATTGATAATTATGGATGTAAAATAATTTTAATTTCCTCTTATTTATTATTAATTCTGATCTTAACTGTTTTAATAATGCTCATTGAGGAGATAAACATAATCAAATTTGGAATGATTAATCTTAAAAAATAACATCATCAAATTTGGAATGATTAATCTTAAAAAATAATCATCATCATCTAGAAATGGAATATTTTGATTTATTTAAAATACAACTGTATATCAATCCTTATATATATATATATATATATATATATATATATATATAAATAAAAAAGAAAGAACAGTGTTCTTATAGATATTTTTATTTTTACAAAATATATAATCCAGAGCATTAATATTATAAATTGATTTATTTAAAATATGTTCTTATAGATATTTTAATATTTTACAAAATAGTGCTCAATTATAAATTTATATAGATATATAAATATAATATATATTGATTTTTTAAAATATTTTTTTTTTCACTTGAGGATGAAATGGAACTAATGTCTTTAATTTAATTACAAAATTAAATTTGTAGCTTTTAGCTTCCATTTTTGAAACATGGTTAGAACTGTGTAGCAAAAAAAAACATATTTTAAATAAATCAATTTATAATATATATATATATATATATATATATATTAAAAAATATGTATTCATTGCGATGGAGTAAATCAGTTTTCTTTGAAAGTTATTCAGCATCGCTTGAAAATGGAACTAAATTTTAAATTTTAAGTTCAATTTAAGATTTTGGTTTTGGTTTTGAAACATGATAATTTCTGTATCACGATGAATACATATTTTTAAATAATAATTATAATATTATGCTCTACTGTGTATCAAGCACTGTTTCTAAAAATAAAAGTAAAAGAACTCTGGATTATAAATCTGATTGTTCTTTCTTTTTATTTTGATATATATATATATATATATAGTATAAAAAATTAGATCAGTTGATTCTACTACCTTGGTTTCAAACTTTCAGTATCTTCAGGCAATTCTGGTCAATTGATTTCTTAACGCTTTATTTTTTTTTAAATTTTATGAATGTTATATTATTTAAAAATAAATAATAAATTCACTTGCATAAAAAAAAATCTGTCAATGTGTATTTCTACTACTTAATTATTGGAATTATTTATCACACCACAAAAGCAAAATAAGTTATTTGTTTCTTTTAGTATTAGGTCCCTTCCACTTATTGTTAGATTTTTCTTTGCACGATGTCAATTCAGAACGTTGGTGATTATGACCTCTTCACAATTTCCTATCCTTTGTAGCTCTTAATAAATTTTGTCTTTTTGTTTTCTCTCCTAAACCATGTTCTGCCATTGATTTTTTTCCAGGTCACTAGGTAGGTTATATGTTCTTTTCTTTTGTCCCTCTTGCTTTCAATCTGTCTTGTATCATATTTTCCAAGCCTTCTTTCCTCATTATGTACACTAGAAATTTCAACTATCTCTTTATGTCAAGTATAAGTGTCCATTTTGTTTCCATTTCCTCTAAAAGTTTGTTATTGTTCACATGTTCAGTCCATGGTATTCTCAGCTTTGTTCTGTAGAACCACATTTCTGTTGCTTCACATTTCTTCTTTATCTGTAAAGAGATTGTCGAGTATTCACTGCCATATAGGAGTACTGATATTTCATAAAAGTTCAGTACTCTTTTCATTACTAAATCTATTTGGTGAGAATTATTTTTCATTGATGTCTCTAGCTACATAGAAATAAAGATTTGCACAGCATAAATGTTTTTAAAGTCTTTGCATATGGACAATCTCACTGTCTCAGCCTCCAAGCTGATTATTTCTAGTAATTTTTTAAAATCATTTCACTGCAATAAAGCCTAATAGAGATGCAAGGAGTTAATATCAGAAACTGAAAGTGTCAGAGAAAAAAAAAAACATTATTAAAGGAAAATAAAAGAATTGGATTCAAGGAGATAGTAGATGACAATTGACATTGCTTTTAATTATGTTTTAGATCAAAATAGACTGGAAAGCAAGAAGCCAGAAAAGAGTTCTACAAGCCAGAGATATCAAAACTAACAACATGTTTTTTAGTAACAGAAATTTCCAGAAAATAGGTAGACTTTAAAACCAGTCTAAGTTTTGGGCTTCGTGCCTAGTTTGGAATCAGAATTGTACATCTCTAGATCTCAACCAAAGCCAGAGATCCCAGTCTACTTTACTATTTACCAATAGATGGAAGAAAAGAGATGGCTCTTTTCCAAGAGCCTTAGTACAAGCTGCCTGAACCCTGTTTGCTGATTTTAACTCTTTTGTCAATAAACATTTTCACCCAGCAGTTACATTGGGTGGAAAGACAAAAATTATTGATGCTTCTTATGCTCTTAAGCATATTTTGATGAAAGAGTATTTTGCGGAAGGCTAAAAGTCCCAATGATGTTTGGTATCATGTAACCCAGTACTATCTGCTGCATGGTTTGGTCACTGGAAATTAAACTTGTTCTCCCCAATAATGAGAGGAGTGGGTAGACAGGATCAAAAATAAGACCTGAGAGCAGATGAAACTTCTTGTATGGTCAATGACTATCTAACACATTGGAGTAGACTGAACTTCATAGTAATGTATGCAGCCAGTGTAGTGATGACACAACTTTGCTGGGTTGTGGTCCTCCTAGACTGTAATCAACAGCCTGTGCAGACAGCTGATCTGATGGAATCAACAGGAGCAAAATGTGTCTTTAAGTTAGAAGATCATTGGTTGTGGCTTGACCTGGAGAGGAATATGCTCCACCAGGTCTATTTGCCAAAGATACACTACATGAAAGAATGCTTCTTTAGTTTTCTATACAGAGGTTCAATGGTCAGATGTGCAAAAGACTGATGATGATAATGATTAAAAATTCCAAGTGTTGTTTGGACTATTGATCTCTTTCTTTGTTGTTCTACAAAATAAAAACATAGAAATTAGTTTATTTATTGAAGTTAAAATTAAGGTGTTGGGTAAAGAGTCCTCAGCATCTTTACCCTTGTGACTATTCTGATGTGATAAACAGAAACAACTCTTGAATTTTCTGTCTCTTCAAGAATATGTTTCCACACTTGCAGATCCTTAGTTAATATATATATGCATATGATATCACAGTGTACAAGTGCACCTCCAAATATATTGATGACCAGTGCCTGATAGCTGATCTCTCCTCTCTCACAGCTTAATAGGGGAAAAGACTGGCTAATATCATTCAATACATCCCAATCATTTTATCACCACTGAGCAGATCCTAAACCTGATCCTGATAAGTGGTCATACCCTCAGAGGCTCCTTGACTTGAACACCTACTTGGTCTAATGCTCACTCCTGACTTCAAATGAATGTTTATAGTAGTATCATCTCAAAAGATGCTGGAAGAATGGTCAGTTTCTTATATTCCTCCAGAGAATAAATACTTTCTGTTGTTATACTCTATTTTTACAAAACTCAAATCAGACCAAGAATGGAGTATTGCTACCAATGTCTGAGATTGTGCTGCCCAATCTTCACTGTCCAACCTCAACAGAGTTCAAAAGCATTTATGTGGACTTGTGCATGATAAATTATTATACTTCTGTGACCTTTATCTCACAGATGAAACATTGCTATGGTAGATATTTGGGGGGGTTATATTCTTTAGTTCTAATAGTT